TGAAAAGTATGTTTAATTTTAACATGAAAATTACTTTGCACATGGACTATTCAAAACAAATACTCAATACATTCATGGACAAAACTTTATTTTATTAAAAGTACTTCACTAAGAAATATGACTTTTTGTATGCGAAAGACTTGTAATATTAATTAAAGACTGCCAAATTTCGTGAAGAGATACCCAATATATAGAGAGTTATAAGCATTTAATTTATGTCAACTTTAAATGAGTACAGAAGGTCACTTCCAACCCCATGTCGGAAGAGTTAAGGAATAGTAACTGGAGACAGTCAAAATTCTGCAGGAGAGGAAACAGCCAGATGATGAAGATAATGAATGATGAAACTCTATGGATTCATCCCCATGTCAGCCTCAAGAATCTCATGCAAGTGTCACCAAAAAATGAGATGCAAAGGAATGAGACAGGTGACGAAGCTGATGCAATGTAATGTGAAAAAGCTGTGAGTTCATTACTATAATGCATACATGTAGTCAGTAAATAATTAATTGATATTGCTGAATAACAAATCTACAAAACAGAAAACATACTTACCCCTGTCTTCTGCAATCTCCAATTTGTATAGATCAATCTCATCAGCAATTTCTTCTTGTTGTGCCAAGTATTCATACTAAAAATATAAAGCATGCCTTGTAGATAAACCATAAAAATGTGTTAACTTTTAAACAACACATAAATAGTGCTGGATCATTTTCTATATTCTTATCAAACTACAAGACAATCTGTGTTACAATAAAAATAGAATTCATGTTTTTTAATATCAGTTAAAGAAGAATTTCCATAGCATTTCCTGCATTAATGTGGTATAAAAACATCTACAATTTTCTAATTTTGCCATAAGTCAAGTATAATTAAGTGTTTCACGCATTGTTCATACTTTAAACATAAATCCTCTGCAATTATTATTATTTAATTATCCAAAATATAATAAACTAAAGTTGTAGGATTTACATCATTTTCACTTATATTACTGGATAATATTTGTTAACATTTCTTTTACAATAGCACTTCCTTTTTTAATAACTTTAAAAATGTTTGCAAGTTATCCTTGGGAACAAATAAATTAAGAAAATAATAATAACAAAACTGCCATAGAAGTTTGCACACTATATGCAAAGTGTGTGTGTGTGTGGTGTCGTGGTAGTGAATCTTGATTTTAAAACTGATGTGGAATAACCTTAATAACACATACAGTAAAAAATTAATACATTAATAAATATCATGCACACAAAAAATATAAAATACAAATTAACATCATTTCAATCACTTGTAAACATTAAACCTACTAATTTCTGAACAAACATCTAGCCTAGTGAAAATTTTAATTTCCTGTTAGAAAGTTTCTTGCATGTTCCATATCTAAAAACCTTTAGCTAAGGGAATTCCACACATTCTCAGTTTCCAAAAATTATATTTTTCAATATTAATTTTAGGTTGTTTTTCTTTAATAAACAATTTCCAGTATATTATGCAATATGAATTCCCTTTCTTTTTACCTGGTAAAATCCATGGGTTGCTGGATAAAGTACAATAGAAATAGGGTTTTAAAATTTAGTACTCTTTGCTAGCCAACTTAAAAATGTTGAATTTACAATTTATATGTATGTACAAGACATTAGATTATACATTAAGAAAAACATTAAAGTTTATCTAGCAAATCATATCTCAGTTGCACTCGAGAGAAAGTGTCAAAATATTTTTCCTTAATATACTTTAAAATATTTATTTAAACTTTGAATAAGAAGTGCATGTGATGCACTAATAACTTTTTATATATGCAAGTTTGTTTTAAACTATTTACACAAGTATAAATGTATACTTTTTTTCTGCATTTAATTTTCGAACATAATGTGTTACGTACATTACTTTCATCTCTTATAACATAAAATGTACTGTTTTTTCGTTATATTTTCCTAATGCTTTTTCTCAAAACAGCGAAAGTACAAATTATTAATATTTGTTACTAGACTGCATTCAATGACTACTCTATAATTTGCTCATAGACTTTTACCAGGAAGGAAAAATGTTCAGTAGCACAGGTATACATGGTTTAAAAGTTTGTTTAAAATGCCCTATACATTTTTACTTTTATAAAGCAAACTGGTACATAGTTTCGTTTTGAGTTTGCTTACTATTTAATTGGAAATTACAACTTTTTCAGTAAGGAAGAACATTTTTAAAACAGATATGAAGTTTCAATCACTAGTGCAATCATTCTCAAGTACACAAGTTTTAGTGATAAAACTTGTGTACTTGAGAATGACCACACCAGCGATCAAAAATATTCTTCCTTACTGTAAAATCTGTAATGGTAAAACTTGTGTATTGAGAATGATCACACCAGAAACTGAAATGTTATACCTGTTTTAAAAATATTCTTTCTTACTGTAAAAGCTGTAAGTTGTAATAAAATAAAAGCTGGTATATAGTTCAATTGTTTCATTTAATGGAAAAGAGATCCTTACAAAAAAGTAGCATAAAAACCATCTTCTCCAAAATTTGGTTCTTTTTAGATTATTACAAAAAGTATCAAAAACAATACATTTAATCCAGCACAAAAAATTTTTGGAATATTTTATTGTTGAGATAAATCCAGCGACTAGACCCAAATTAAATTAAGTAAAATAGTAGATATCATACCTTTCTGATAATTGAATCAATAGAACATAAATATCGGGCTTTCGACTGCATTGTCAAAAGGTCTAATATGTCTTTCATTTTTTTATTTTTTTTTCTTGATCCTGATAATGATGTAACTGACTTCATCGTTTCAGGTGTTGCCACAGTTTTCTCCAAGAAATGTCTCTTTGTCACAAGGACGTGTATTCTCTGTAAAGACTTAAATTTTTATTAGAAAAACAGTTATGTAAATATAAATCTAATCAAAGACACCTTAGGTGTGAGAAAAAAGGTGCAGCCAAACTGGTAGTTACACTTATAGCATTGATAAGAATAGTATAGAAAATATTCATTCATTAGTTAGCTAGGCCGCATATTTTGTTTTACCAACCATCATGTTGAACAAAATCACGGCCTGGCTAACTAATGAATGAATATTTGCTGTAAAATTCTTATCAATGCTATAAGTGTAACTACCAGTTTGGCCACCAATTTTGATTTCATTCTTTTAAGTTACAACTCAATCCATTTTTGGCCACACCTTTTATTCATGCCTAAGGTGTTTTTGATTAGATATCATGATTTTTTGTCAATATACACCAACAAACCACAGCAAGTAAGAAAGTGACATTCAGTAGTAACCAACATTAGCTTTAGGATTATAACCATATTATTATTCAGAACAGACTTGTACTTTAAAGAACCAAACAGATTCTTTTCAAATATATTACAGTAGTTTTTACTCTCTAAAACAAGGTTATAAACTTCCTTTATGGTAATGCCATGGAAACTATATTAACAACTTCTTGTCATCACCCACATGCACTCTGTACAGTCAGCTGTATCAGGCATCATTACTTACACAATTGCTTAAGTTATCACATGACGTTAATTAGGAGAAAATGAAGAGAGAGAGTCCTTCTGATATGATCTGAAGAACCCAAGGATCCTTGGTAAAAGTCCACCAGAGAGGGTTGAAATAGAACAGCCTTGCAACAACTGCACCTGTACCTACCCAGTAGTCACCAAAACTGTTGATGACATGTGGATTGGCAGTGTGTAAAATGATGACTTGTTGCCAAACCCAGGAGGAAGAAACAAGTAAGGGAAGTGAAAGGGACAAAATCAGGGGAAGATTGAGACAGATGAGTGACTAGGGAGGACAGGGAATGATCCAGGCAAGCTGAGTTCCAAAAAATCAGGTGGAACCAAAAAAAAATGGACTATCAAAAAAAGAGAGCCATATGTATGTCCCACAGAGATGTGGGGGTAGATGCACATGGGCCAAAAGTGCATCCCTACCCAAAAGATGTCAACAAAAAAGGAGCCAGGTGTAAAGTGAAAGAGCCAATGAACCCAATTGTGCTAACATGGTTAAAAATATGGAACAGGTGTCCACCAAAAACCCCTCAGAGAAAGGATGGACGCTCTTGGACAAGAGGTGAATGGAGGAAAGGTAACAAAGGAGAGTGGTGAGGGTTAAATGAAGGCTCGAGAACTAAAATATCAGGGTCCAAACCCCAAACAGGCACCAAATCATCCAACTGCTAAGAGTTGTGAAAAGGATTCTCAGAATGATGATAAGTCAATGCTTGAACCTCAGAAGTACGTGTTGATCCCTGAACATAACTGATCAGTAAAATAAGTGGCATGGATTGATGTTGGGAGAGAGTGGAAAAACAAAATAATCAGACGAAGAGTCATCTAAAAGGGAAGAGGGGGGGGGTCATACAACACAGAGGGCAAAAACAAAACATAACACACCTGTATCACTAAGTCCAGTAAAGTAGATGAAGGTTAAGGTGCATCTACTGGTATCAAGTGAGACTGCAGAGCAAAGGAAGGAGGAGGAAAAGAAGACTGTCCAAATCCTCATTATCCTACCCAGCCTCCCTCCAGCAGGGGAAAACTGGTTGATGTTCAGGAAAACCCTCAGATTGCATGAAAAATTCTAACTCCAGCAGATAAGAGCCAAAACTTCCCAGACAATAATATTGAGCTAGAAGCCAAATTAAACAGTGGTTGGTCAGTGGCATGAACAGCAGTTGAAGTTGTAGTAACATTAAATTGTGAATTCATCACAACAAAACAAGTGGGTAACACAAAGCGAGTGAATCACCGTGATTGCAAAAACAATGTCTTGGTAAAGCAATAAAAAAAATGTTTGTGAAAGAAATTTGATTTATAATTAGTTGCAAAAAATCAAAGTACAAACTAGGTTTAAAAAAAACTGCAAAATGAGACTCAAATATACAACAAAACAGTTGAGTGCCAAATCAAGAAGTGGAGATAGGGTTCTACAGCATAGAGGAAGTCAGTTGCACTTGGAGGATGTGTCACACTCCTACTGATGAAGGGTTGTCACGTGCTTACTTGCATTGTATAGCACAGCTATACCATGTCAATACATGTGGAGATAAGTGGGAGTATCAAGGCTAGTGGCAAGTGAAACTTGTGCATATAGAGGTAATGATTTAGAAAAACTATTATACGACAAGAGATAAGGTATCGTACCAGAAAATCACCTCTGTTAACTCTCTCAACACAGTATTTGTCAATTTGACCAATCACATGACCTCTTGTACTTATTTAAAGTCTTTATAGATTTAATGCTTCTAATTTTTAATATAGTGTGTATAACTTCACAAAATTTGGCAGTCTTTCAGTTAATATTATAAGTCTTTCACATAAAAAAAATCATTTTTTAATAAAATAAAATAAAGATTTGTCCATGAATATATTGAGTATTTGTTTTGAATAGTCTGTGTGCAAAGTAATTTTCATGTTAAAATTAAAAACACTTTTCTTCATCTCAAAAATCTGAAATTTCCTTTGTATAATCCCTAAAACCTTTTAAATACATTTCAAATGTGTTTTTTTTTCAGTTAAACTATATAGTTTATCTGTCAAGTGATGAATTTGATAGGATGAAATGTGATACAGTCTGCATTACATTAATGTAATTAACTTTCAAATGTATATTATAAATACATTCTGTGAAGCATAACATTAGTTGAGTTGAAAGTTAGGTGTGATAATATAGTTATTGAGCTATTTTGTACAAGTGTACTGATTGTACATTATCCCTAATACTGTTTTCAGCTAGATTTAAAGTCATTTGTAAATGTTGACCAAACAGAAGTTACAATGTGTAAAAGTCAGTAAAATGCATTAAGGAGGAAATAAAACTTATTGTCCTGAAGTTGATTGGATGTTGAATTATTTTCATTAATTGATTCAAACAAACCTGTAAAGTAAAAGCAAGGTTACACTAATTTTCTTCCCATGTTAGATAATTACTGGTGCCATTACTATTACACACCTCCCTTGAAAAACCTCACTATTCACAATATCAATCTTGTAAATAGCCCATTTATTATCACTCTCCTTTTTCTATTATTTTCTATTCACTTCATTTTTACACTAATTCTATAAATATGCAACTTGATAATTAATCTCATAAATTACACCTTATCAGAAGCTTTCTAAAAATTATGGTACACTTTAATAAGTAGAATATCCTCAGGCAAAAGAAAAAAAAGTAATCAAAACAGTTCAACAAGCTTGTAATGCATGAGAAACCCTTTTATGATATGATCCTACAAATTATTAATTAAATGCTATCTTTCCAAATATATTTCTAAATTATACTTTACAATACATTTTGCCATATCAAAAATAATAGAAGACAAACTAAAAGCTTGCAATTTCCCAAGTTTTTCTTCAATTTCTTATTTAAAAAATTATCACACAAATCATCTCCTAGTGATCAAAACATTTTCTATTCTTAGTGCTTTCTGGAAAGTAAAGGTATAGTTACAACCATCTCCTTACTTTATTAAAGTTTTAGGGTTAATCCAATCAGATTCAGTATCTTTACTTTTATCAATAATAACAGTAACACTAGTACAATATATTAATGTTTCAGCCATGTTTCTTTCTTACATAATAAGGTTTTTCACTGAAATCTCAAGAGCCAATATTATCCCTAATTCTCTTTTCTATTTCTGAATTATATCTAAGTGTAAAAGCCCTGATGCATGCATGCAGTAAGTAATTTTGGATATGTATAAGGAAAATAATGATTACATTTAGATGCAGTGTCAGTATTCAATGTTTGGAGATCAGGGGGTGGCATCAATGAAATTTTGATCATGTTGCTTTTTACATTTTTATATAAAAATATTGGCATATAAAGGTGATAATCCAATGAAGACAACCACATGTAGGCATTTTCACACTCATAATGTCTGTTTTCTACAAGATTTTAAACTGTTATTGTAGGTTCATTTTATTTTGCCATAGCATATATTTTAAAACAAAGAAACACAATCTATTATTTGATTATATAAATTATATAGTATTTATATTAAGAGATTTTAAGAATATTCAGTGTCTATGAACTTAAATGGATCTTTAATATCCAGAACACATGCATATTCCAGTAAAACTAAATGGGTAATCATGCTGTACATACAAATTCTTACTGCAGATCAGAATTAGTAAGATACATTATTTTTAAGACACCATACAATTTCCACTTGCTTAGAACTTATCATCTTATACATCATAGAGTAACTAACTACGATGATTATCCATACACTGAATATATTTTTTAAATATTTTAATATGTAGGATTACCAAAGCATAATAACAATTATAAGATCAATGAAATTGTTTGTTAATCACATGTTTTATGATATAGGTTAAAAATTCCATAATATTTTCACTGTAAAATTTAGAAAAAAAGTTATAGTTCATTTTTTTTCTATAGATCTCCTTTTGGTATTACTAATAATACTAGTTTATATTTATAACAATGATACAAAAGAAAGGTCTAACTCCCTGTTCAGGTAATATTCATGGGGCAAGCTACTGTAGGAATAATTCCTTGCACTTCTTTCAATTACTGTCATTATAATGTTAAAACTGTAGGCCTCCATTCACATAATTTTGCATATACTATATAGTTAATGTACATAAAGCATTAGAATCAAATCCATCTGAAAATTCAAAGTACAATTTAATTTTAAATTTCTTGTGTTATTCTAACACTAGCCATTACTTACTGATTAAATAAAGTAATTAAACTTATAGTATACTACTGTCAGTACTAAGTCAACATCATTGCTACATCAAAGATCAGGTACAAGTAAAACGATGTACTCGTATAGTATACCACTGCATAACTTTACTGTAACTCCCAACAAAAGTTCTGTCACTGCTAGAAACAGTAATAAAGATTTATGCTTTAATCATGTTCCTTTCTTCTGTGAAGAGAGCCTCCACTGAAATGTCAAGGGCCAATGTTTTCCTTAAATCTCTTTTTCATTTCTGAAGTATGTGTAGAAACCATGATTTAGATAGGCAGTAAGTAAGTTTAAATATGTATAAGGATAACAAAGCTTTAATTTAGATAGGTTAGTAACAACTTAAAAGCAACAGTGCTAGTTTTCAGTGTTTGGAAATGAGGGTTTGATGATCAATGAAATTTCAATCATGTTCCTTATTCTAATGTTCATATATAGCAAGTTTGCTTGTCATATGTATATGATTATCCCAAAAAGATAATCATTTGTGCATTCATAATATGTTTTCTACCAGCTTTTAAGCTGGTATTCTAGCTTTAGTGATTAATATTATGCTACCAATCACACCCACAATCAATAATGTCTATAACAGTGTGAATATAATAACCATACAAATTATAGTAAAGGAGAAAGCTCCAGTTCTCCATGTTAATATTTTTTTGCATATATGTATAAAGCCTCAATTGTCCATATTAATTTTTGGTTTGTAATGTATGAATAAAGTGTAAGTGCAAAAGATAAATAAATAACACTATAAGTTTAAGTATTAAGTAATTTATTCATAATGTATTATACATTACGTATATCACGAATTATGTTGTAACTTGTACTTGTAGCAATGTATGGTGGTTGAAACTTGTTGTACTTCCTCTATCACTTTTGATTCCAATTTTCATCGTTGAAAATGAAAATTTCAATTATAAATCCATTTTAATTCCTATATTACGAAAAGGCTATTGACACCGATAAGAAGATAGCATATAGTGAATTAAATTTAAAACCACGATAACGCCGTGACAATAACAACGGCCTATATTATTTTGCTAATCTTAGCTAGCTACACAGGTAAAATACTAACAAGGAGAGTAGGAGCCTTCTCCTTCACCAAAGCCGTAAAAGTTATTAAGCACATAAATATTATTATTCATAGCTTAAAATTACCTGTTTTTGGCAGTAACTTGTTACTTCTTAATATAGTATTACTATTAGCAACTTCAAATTTACCACTTAGATCTTTGAAGAGCTCTGTAGAGGACGCTTTCCAAAATTTGTTTCAAGATAAATGCGTATCATAATATCGCACATAATAATGGAATTGTAGTTGGAAATCTTACTCCTTGGGATTATTTATGGTTTATTTGTTTAAATGAAATACACAGAAATATGAATTATAACTATGTCGCAAACTATCTTCTAAGTTGTTTTTTATTAAAAATAAATAAATAGAAAACTTCTGTAGAAAACTCTTTGAGAAAAAAAACCCTAAG